GTGACCTCTCGTAGTATTCTTCACTACACTGACTACACTGACTTCACTACAGCAGCCCAAAGTCTTTTATTAGTATGTAGTATTCATTCATTTATTCATCATCCTGACTACAGATACTACAGGTACTACCACTACAAAATCGGGCTTCCCATTTCTGTCACCTCTCGGTATTCTTCACTACACTGACTACAGTGACTTCACTACAGCAGCCCAAACTCTTTTCTTCATACTTCTAACAGTCCTGACTACAGATACTACAGGTACTACCACTACAAAATCGGACTTCCCATATCTGTCACCTCTCGGTATTCTTCACTACACTGACTTCACTACAGCAGCCCACACTCTTTTCTTCATACTTCTAACAGTCCTGACTACAGATACTACAGGTACTACCACTACAAAATCGGACTTCCCATATATGTCACCTCTCGGTATTCTTTACTACACTGACTACAGTGACTTCACTACAGCAGCCCAAAGTCTTTTCTTCATCATCCTGACTACAGATACTACAGGTACTACCACTACAAAATCGGGCTTCCTATTTGTCACCTCTCGGTATTCTTCACTACACTGACTACAGTGACTTCACTACAGCAGCCCAAACTCTTTTCTTCATCATCCTGACTACAGATACGACAGGTACTACCACTACAAAATCGGGCTTCCCATTTCTGTCACCTCTCGGTATTCTTCACTACACTGACTACAGTGACTTCACTACAGCAGCCCAAACTCTTTTCTTCATGCTTCTAACAGTCCTGACTACCGATACTACAGGTACTACCACTACAAAATCGGGCTTCCCATTTCTGTGACCTCGCGGTGTTCTTCACTACACTGACTACCGTGACTTCACTACAGCAGCCCAAACTCTTTTCTTCGTGTCAATGTGAAGCATTCGTCGCTCGGTCGATAGGCCGTGCCTGTTCCGCAGAATCGTGATGCGTTGCCGGCCATGATGCGTCGAATGTCGTGCTACCGCATGCTCGGACGCCTTTGTATCGGGATTTGTACACGCTGGCGCCGTGTACCGAAACAGTGTACCCGTGAGGTGCGTTTGCCGTCGATTTCGTGACAGCAGTCACGAATGCCTATCGAACTCCGGCGCAGCATCACTCGGTTTTCAAGTCTGGCGTGTCCCGCAAATTCGTGATGCGTTTGCCGGCGATTTTGTGACAGCAGTCACGAACGTCTATCGAAATCCGGCGCAGCATCACTCGGATTGCAAGTCTGGCGTGTCCCGCCAAATTCGTGATGAATTGCCGGTCGTGATGCGTCGCACAGTGTCTGCCGCACGCTCGGACGCTGTGTAGTCGGGTTGTGTCAACGCTGGCGCCGTGTACCCAAGTGCATTCGCCGGCGGTTTCGTGATGGCTTACACAAACGCTACGCTCCGAAACTTTGGTTACGTGTCCTGGCGATTTCGTTATTTGGGTGACGGGTGTTCTTGTGATATTTCACATTCTATGCCACTGGTACGCACTGGGCGCACTGGTACGCAATGGGCGCACTGGTACGCACTCGTACGCACTGGGCGCACTGGTACGCACTGGGCGCAGTGCCGCCGGGCAGGCATGGCGAATACGATCGGGAAGTGGGCGCGAGGAACCCCGCTTGCCTGGATGCGCGCCGCGCTAAATTCGTGATGTCTTACATGGAACATGTACCAGGACAAGTGTTCTTTCAAATGTGAATAGACAATGTAGCTCTTGATACAGTTTATCACCTAGAAAAACTTTGACGAAAAAACTCTGACGGTTCTGAATACTGATGTTCTTTTGCATTCAAATAAAACTGGAGGTTCTGTGGCAGTATCAAGGAGGGGGTCGCCAGGGGGTTTAAAACATGTCTTTTTCGATAGGCCAAGACCTAACCACATATCAAGTTTCCACATACCAAAAACATAACCTTGGCGAAGGCAGCAACGTAAATGAACGCAGTAAATGCATTTCTACTGTACTGACAAACATACTGTGGCAAGACATGCAGAAGTTAACAAGTTCTCTTCGCCATTCGCATCATGTGTGGCGGATTTTACCTCCCGGTATGAGCTCAGATCCAGCAGAATGAAAACGTCCAACTTCTGAGACGGTAAGTCCGCCTCTGTAATCTACCGGATAAACCCTCTGGTCCTGCCTCGATCTCTCAAGCTCCAATTTTGTTCCCATCTAGGCCAAACTGATTTGATTATATGGATGACATTCTATGCGTACCCCAAAACTGATACGAGGGTGTGAAGGAAAAATTGCGCATGCCTTCATTACGAAATCTTTTAGAAAGGTTGACCAAATGACTGAATACACAGAATACCAAACAATACATTCTATATTTTGTGCTTTAGTATCTCTTGTATTCTTTGGAAGGCTTTGCTACCCACATATAGCTAGAGTTCGAAATATCAGCCTATTTTTATTAGTACAAAACGTGACTACACACAAAAACATGATATATCAGTCAATACATTCCATATTTTTGTCTTTTTCATATCTCCCATTTGACTTTTGAAGACTTCTTCAGGCCTGGAACTACATTTTTCAGTTACTGATAAAAATGGGGGAAAACAATGACAAAAAAACCCTCTATTTCTTCGACACTAGCATCCGTTTTCCGATATGACATTTTTTTTACAATTTACTACTGCTTTTTAGAATAGGTCAATCTGTGGCTTTTTTGTATGATTTACTGTGTGGAAGCATTTTTTTTTGGAAATGGACAGAAATGTATGCGTGCGTGGATGCCATACATACAATGCAGTCAGTGTGGCCTTACTGTGAAAGCTTGCATAGGGGGAAGCACTCGGCGCACTACAGTCACGCAGTGGCGTTTGATGCCGGCGGACATTTACCAAATCTCTCCAGGCTGGATCTCAGCGTTCAAAAAGGAACGACTGCTTTGCAAATTGAAGGATTTTTGGAGGGGGGTATAATTTTTATGGAAGAGCTAAAAGGTTTACCTCAGGGATACATTCTGCATTGAAAAAATTCTGTGGCAAACTTTAGTTCTTTACGTTTTGTGGTATACGAGTACATTACACAAAACCTGCAATTCTTTGTGTTTGATTTCAATTTGCAAATTTGAAGAAAATCTTTATTATTATGCAAATATAAATTTAAACCGTATCATATTTTGAACTTAACTTCACATCCTACTAATGTTCGTAAATAAATAAACATTATCGTAACCACCAGATATGCAAAGGCTTATCAATTACAACATGTACAACGGCACGTATTGTTCTCTGTAATTAAGGGTTAATGACCCGCCCGAGGTGCATATGGTGTGATGAAGCCTTGTCAGTTGCTATAACCACCGAATTAAACCACCGAGTGAGCGTAGTACCTCTTAGAGGTTCTTGGTCTCGGGAGACTTTATTGCTACTCCTTACTTCTCCCAGTCCTGTACCTGCGTAAATTTCTAAATGTATAACTATCTGGATTTGACAGATGTGTAATTAGAACCATGTCTCAATGTAAATTGTAATAACACACCTCAAAAATTACCTTTAGTGCCAGAAAATCTCAAGTATGATTTTCAGTCACGGAAAACACGATCAAGGAGAAGAACTTATAAGTCAAGTTGTTAAGTTGAACACCGTAGACGATTACACTTATACGCTGTGGACAAGATGTTCGATTGCCGCTATCGCATTGCCAATCGGTTAGTACCCTCGCATTGTCGGGAAGAAAAAAACGTGCAAGATTAATTGTCCATTGACAGGGGTTGGTCAGGACAAAATTACAAATCCTCACTTGCAAAAAAAACTTTTAACTACGGAGTGCCATTAGGCAAATTGAAGGTCGTGTTTTGGCTCATACAACCTGTGTGATCAGCTTCTGGATCCCGGACAAAAAGGCAGTTGAGAGAGTATTAGAGTATGAAAGAGCCACCCTGTGACATACGGGATGAGTAATTATGCAGCAATCTGTACGCTGCCTATCTAGTAACTGGATTCTTAGCGTGGGAGGGGAGTAAAAGGATTAAAGTCTTGGTGTGCTCTATTTGTTTAGCCGCATGTGAAACTCGGCTGCTCGGTGTGAGAGATCGCTTTTTCTCGGGCTCATTGACAATGATTTATGGCGAACAGACTGTGCACTACTTGGGTGGTGGTAGGGGGTTATATACTGTGGAGTGATCAGGAAAATTAGCACAATACGATAAGTGGATTGGATGGGAGGTTTGCAGTGAGGAGGATGGTACGAGGGGATAGCGGCTCGGACTCGGACGGGGCGGGGAGCTCCCCCAGCCCGCCGGCGGCACCGACTCTTCACCGGCAGGTGTGCGCGGAGTGCGCGGCGCTGCTCCACTCCTCCAAGCCGCCCGCCTGTTGGAACATCATCCACCTGTTCTGTGCCGGCTGTCTGGAGCGGATGCCGGCGCGGGACGCCCTGCGAGCCCGGATCCGGATCGACCTGGGCCTGAAGCTGGTGTGTCCGGACTGCGGGGGGACCGAGGAGGCGCCCGGGGAGTGGGTGGACACGTACAGCGTCACCAGCCGCCTGCCCAAACTGCACGACCCGAAGGCAGCCGGACAAGACGACAGCAACAACAACAACAGCAGTCTGAGGGGTCGGCTGGTCCGGTGGTAACGGAGTACCAAACAATGACTCTCCCCATGTGAACGTGCTGTACCATGGACACAACTGTACGCAAGAAACCCCCTGCCATTTGCACGCAATGCTGCTAGACTGTTATATTTGACCAGTAAGTCAAACTTTGACTAGTCCTTATCTATGTTATTAAAGAACTAGTACATTTTGTAGATGATATACTCTACAGATATTCTGGACTGGTGACTTGTACTACATGTTTTGGACAGACTATAAAGACAACAAGCGAAAATGGCCTAGACAGGAGGACAGAGTTTTATTACAATCTACCGTTAAAATGTATACTTTTAGATATATATTGTCGTCAGTAGCGTATCATTTAGTAGTCTAAGAATAAGTATGATAAGTTTGTTAGTTTGTTTCAGCCATCTCAAACTAGGTGGACTAATGTCTTTTGTTAAATATTATTGGGTTTTAGAATAGTGCATAGAAGAAGAAAAGTCCCTCTTCAAAGTAAGATTGGATCTACGAAGTCAAGGTTGTCCAACACCTTGTTTTCATGAAGCAATGCATGACGGGAGCGCTCAATCGTAGTTTACACTACAGATATTTCTCGTAATGTTTCGTCATTTTTTTAAGGAAAGTTTCACCTCTCTTGCACAACATTTGCTATTTTATACCTAATACTTGTCTGAAAGTTTACGTTCAACTTTTAATTTCTCAGTTATGTAACTCCCATGATGCATTTCGTTGCCGCCATGTTAGTCGTTCCAAAAACCGACGTTCGTCCATTTTTTTTTATTCACGTCACGCCTGAAATGGGGCTGTACGTAGTGATTTCCAGATAACTGTGTGTGAATTCGGTTAGCTGACTTGATGGCGTCTTTTGTGTTGTTCAATCAGCGAAGGTCGCAATATTCTGACAGACGCCGAAACTCATCGCCAAGTCATTAAAAACTGAAATAAGGTTGCCTCTCTGTGAAGCGACAAGGACGAGTGAAGTGATTGAATCTGAAAGTGCATGACTGAGATGCGATTATGTGTAATTGTACTCACAAGGGGCACGAGATAGACTAGATTGGATACACAAGACCGACTTCTAATATCTTTAAGTCATGAGGCAGAACTATGTTTGAAGATGTGGGTGGTACACACGAGTACAGCCAAGGTTTTGTCAAGTTTTTGGCAAGAACGTGCGCGCAACGATAGCAGAGACTTTCTACGAACTTGATGAAGAACTTTAGCATGACTGTGTCAAGGGTATGGTTCTAGTTAGAAGTTATGTCATGTAAGAAATCAAGAACTGTGATAAGAATAAATGGCACAATTTAACGATCTGCATTTGTCCTTAATTCAAATTAAAGAAAATATGTCCATTTCATGTAATTCTGATTTATACCGTATATAACCTAAAAGATGTGGGTTGGAATCCCCTGCAGGACCCAATGCTGTGTCCTTAGGCTTAGGGATTACACTTGAAACCAATTATCGTACTCGACTAAGATGAAAATGAATACCCAGCTTATTAGGGACGTCCTGACTGTTGAGACGAAAACCCGGAGGTCCCGTGTTTCAGGAGGGCCAAAATTTTCACTCAAGGACGTCCGGACACATCTGTTGTACCTAGCTGTCACGTCAAACATCAAACAAGTGCCGTGAGAGTTAGCCAACCGTAAACCGCCTACGCTAATTACGTCAATAGGGAACATTTCAACGCGCGCTCTGGCAATTAATGTGTGGCAATTAGTATATAAGCCATTGTCGTTTACAGGAAGTCATTGTCAAGTCTTCAGACGAATTTGCTTTAATCTAACATAAAAGAAATAATCATTATTCCATCAACGCTTAGAGCTAGAGAAATGGCATTGTGTCATGTGAATAAAATCTGACGATACAAAAAGGTTATACAGCAAATTAGCATAAAGCCATTTCCAGCATTACCGTTGTTGCTATGGCAATGACATACAAACACGGACTTATCCTCCTTTGAGAGGCCATTAGAGCTGCAGAGAACACCTGAGGCTAAGGCGGAACATATAAAAGTAAATGTCACTTAGTCCGTACGGTTCACGTTGATGTAAAACTTTGTTTCCGGCAGTATACTGTACGTTTACATCTTACGAACTGGGTGGCCATTTGGTATATTCGGAGCGTTTTGGTTTTATGTAAAATTACATTGGGTTTTTTATATTCTTTTTAATAACTACGTTTTGTAATCTGATATCGATTTACATCGGTTTTGTTGATTCTTCGCTATTCATACAATTATGTATTTGGAAGACAAGAATAATGCTGAAATGCCATGATCACAGCATTAAACAAGACGATTTAAACATGACGATAACAAAACGTGTGGATATCGTTTGTTCGGCAGCCTATAGCGTCCTTGACAAGAAGGAGTGTCTATTTGATTTGCTAATTGATTTTTCAATCCCACATGGCGACGAAGGTTGTAAGTAAGAAGCACCCACTACCGGAGACAGGAACAGCCCACAGGGATGTGTGATGGATATGTAGGATTCGCTGCAGCTTGCTCAGAGAGGCTACAAAAATCGTTGTAATCAACAGGATATGTGCCTGCTGTGACTATGCGTAACTGATACGCAGTTTGATCTTATTATTGCCCACACCTTTTACACCTCCTACGTACGCTGAGTCGTGACACAACTCGAAGAAAAACAAACATGTTTTCATCACCTCGACCCTTATACTCCCGGAGGGAACGATCGGTCCGTTAATCAACCGAAGATTCAAGCAGGTCGATGAGTATCTAGCAGCACATGGCACGTCGTACACGGTGTTGTATAATCTCCAAGCAGATCTTTTGGTGGCTGCAAAGACAGGATCAAATTGGCCAGCTGGCAGTTGCTATTTGCCGGGCAGTTACCGTTTGCGATCCCAAGGCTAGCGAAAAAAGATACCAGTTCAAAAAAGAGACCCGATGAAAACACCTAAAATACGCAAAAAAATAAGCCGAAGCCTACATTTCAATTGAAGGGTAGTTGTTGTATCAAGAACCGTGCTTAATCTATTCCCATGTAGTCCAATCGTATCCAGAACCGTGCCTGGGGCAAATCTACGCGGAGACTATACAGAATCGTGCCTTATCCAGAAGCATGAATAAGAATGGGTTGTGATAGTCCACGCCGTGGACTATCACAACCCATTCCTATTCATGCTACTCCACGCGTATCAAGAAACATACCTGGAGAAAAACTACGACGCTGGATACGCGGCGGGTGACTATCCAAAACCGTGCTTGATTCTAGCCTAACTTTAAAGCATTCGGGTAAAGAGCTAGCTTGGGTCTGTTCTGGATACAATACACGTACACTCCAAATCATTTGGGCGATCACAAATGATTTCTGGCCGGGGTCTGTGGGGAGGTCAGCAGGCCGTAACCCGGGCGACAGTCTTACCTAACCTCTTCGACAGCTACGGCCCGATATGCAATCCTGTGTCGACCAATCAGCTTGTAAACCTTAAAAAATCATTGTAATTCAAATTAATTTCCACAGTGCCTTGTCTAACATTGCTTTTTCTAAAAAATCAAAATCAATACCAGTGTCTTTGCTTAAAGAGTCAGTGAAAGTCAAACTTCTGGAATGCACTCTTGCCCCTCGGTTTCCACAGGAGGACGGTAGAAACTACTTGCTTGGATACAGCATTATTTTCAGGCAAGTGCCAGAAACACCTGTCACGTTAAACGTCAGGGATCACCTATAGTTCTCAGCAAATGTGAAGACGTCAGCTCGAGCTGTCAACGTCAACCCCCTGACGTCTGGACGCACTTGTCAGGTAGAGCGTCTAACAAGAGACGTGGGAATCACTGAAGCGGCGTACGACGTCCGCTAATTACGTCAACCGGGGACGCTCCAAACACCACTGACGATCAATTTCTGTCAATTAGCAGATAAGAAATTTTCAGGAGTCTCTCCATTCAATCGTAGTGCTTTGAAATTGATGTATTTAACGGAAGCCATATGTTTTTTGTGTTCAGTTCTCCGTAAAATCTTGCGAATAGTTCGGTTGGATGTCCGGTAGAGACAGGCGGAGTAATTCGCGCAAATTGCACATTATCCCTGGGAAAGGTCGCCTCCTGTGAGTCCGTTGTTGCCATGGCGACGGCATATCACGACTGACTGTGTCTGCAAGCCGAAGTCATTAAGGCTACAGTGAACACCTGAGGGGGTGTGCGTCCAAATGTCAGCATGTACGTACGGTCAACGTAAATGCAAAATTGGCCTCCGGCAGGATCACTTGTTGCAAGGCTTCACGAACAAGAAGTAGGGGATTTTTTAGACTTCCGGCAAGTATTTGGGGTTTCGTGAATTTATTGTTGTACCGGAAGAGGTTACGACGTAAGAACAGAAACTGGGTTATAGGGTCACCTATGCAATCCTCGGCTTCCTGAATTCCCCCATAGGTCGACCTCAACTCCTGCCGGTTCCACGCGTCGTCCATACTTGTGGACTTTCAAGTTCGCTCCGTTCCATGTGTCCGCCTTTGACCTTCTGCCTGCCGATCTTTCCCACCCACGTGATGATGTCTCTGACCGGATGGACATACAGACAAACCCCACCCAAAACAATACTTCCGTACCTAGAAGTACTGAAACATTGGAACCTTGCTGACCAGTTAAAATTGAACGTTCCTTGACTAGTTTAAGGTTTTACTGTTTTCTTTGAACTTTGCGTCTGTCGGCCATGCCCGCTATTATAAAGTCTATGCTATAAAAAATCCAACAAATTTATGTATGGAATAACACAACGTTTTAATCCTACTACATTTATAAGTAAATGCTCAGGATAACCGTTCTATAATGTGCCCGGCAATCGCTGCAGTTGAAGTGAAGTTTGAAAATTGACAGTTTATCTGATTGGCATCTGGGCACGTTTAATACTGGAGACCTTTCGTTCCCGGAACTTATTACAATCGATTTCCGGGCAAAATGTGTCGAGGAAAACCAGAGCCGAGAGGCCAGAGGTCAACTTGCCACGTCAATAAACCTCCATCAACATGTGTCTGATGGTTTGTTGTGTTTAAATGAGGTTATGGACCTGACAGAACCGGTTTGGCTAAGTGATAACCCTAACTTTCGTTTAACCTTTGGTACATAGA